CTAAGAAAAATATTAAGTTAACCTAGCATTCTATGTTTACATAAACAATTCTATATTTACACAAAGAAGCTATCTTTTGGTGGGGGGTGGGAGGGTACTGGGGATTGAACCCAAGGGTACTTTACCACTGAACCACATGCCCACATGCCCAGCCCTTTTCAGTTTTTTGCTTGTTTGTTTGTTTGTATAGATAGGGTCTCACTAAGTTGCTTAGGGCCTTGCTAAATTGCTGAAGCTATCCTTGAACAACTAATGCTCCTGTCTCAGCTTCCTGAGCCACTGACATTACAGGCCTGTATCACCTTTCCAATGTTTACCCTGACAAAATAGTACTATTTTTCATACTTATTTAACTAAGTAAGCATGGTTCCATGAAAATTCCTATGTTTATTTTATTAATTTTTGTTTTTAAGAGTGCTAAGATTCAATCCCAAGGCCTAATGCTTGCTAGGCAAGCACTCTTTCACTAAACCACATCCTCTAGCTCTTTTAAAACAAATCAAAGGTTTTATAAAAATAAACTATAATTACTTCTGTGTACACACACGGATTTGAAATTAATGTGATTTGTTTTTAATTAATGTTGACCTTTCAATTTTATCCTGAGTAGATATAAGGCCTTATGATTAGATTTTGATTGGTGAACCCCATACTTAAGAACATTAATGTAACATCCTCCTATTCCAAGTTTTAATACAGATTCTACATTAAAAATAAAAACAAATAGGCAAATAACCTAGAAATTTTTATTTTATTAGTCCATTTAAACTTAGCATTAACCTTTACTTAAAAAAACAAAAACAAAAAAAAACAGTTTATTTCCCTATGTGAAAGTGGACAGTACTCAAATACGTGCATAACCAATAGAAGTTGTTCTGGGATGAGTCTTAGAACATATTAAATACATGCTGGACACCACATGTATTTATTCAAGTATTATACATCAGGTACATTGCTTTACACAATGATGAGGATTAGTGAGTCTAGAAAGCTTATGACACATTAAGAATTACGAACAACTAAACAAGCAAAAACCAAAATGATTAGGATGTTGACTGTTAAAATTAGGTATGTGCAGGGAGCTGTAAAAAATATATATGAAACCTATGCAATTTACTCTGCAGCTTCTGCTTCCTCTTCTGTTCTCTTACAGACTGATGTTCCTCAGAATTCTGCCTGAGTCTTCTATCACACACCTGCTGGCTACATCCATTCCATAACATCAGTTGTTCAAGGAAGTATTTCCTCCAAATGACATTTAACTGGTGACCTGAAAAATAAGGAAGCGTAAGTAGATGAGTAGAGAGAGGAAGAATGCTTGTTAAGCTGAGGCAGGCAATGTGATCAGATTAGAACTGACAGAAAACCTGACATGTTTGAATGACTCAGCAAAGTTGAGTGTGGCTCCATCATATGGAAGCTCAGAAGTGGGGAGGAATGAAGGGAAGCCAAGACCTGAAGGAGCTGGGAAGTGTGAGTAAGGGCCTTCTACAGTGGAACCTCCCTTGGAATAAAACAGTAATGCTGTCTGATTTGAGGTTTGCAGAGAAACAATATTGAGAATAGATTTGGTGGGCAAAACTGGAAGCAATTGCAGTCATCCAGGATGATAGGTTGGGTATGAACATCATGTAGACCAGTTCCAGAAATAATTAGGTGTTAAAATTGACAAGACTTAAATGTTTGAATACGGAAAATGAAAAGAACACAGTCATTCATTCACTGTTGTTTTTAGTTATGCATGATAGTATATTTTGACATATTTATGCAAACATGGAGTCCATCTTATTCTAATTATCGTCCCAGTCTTGTGGTTGTACATGATGTGGAGATTCATTATAGCGTATTTATATATGTACATAGGAAAGTTGTCACATTCACACAGTCATTCTTGATTCCAATGACTCCAAGTTAAACTAGTATGAGCAGTGTGTTTCTGCAATTCGCTAAATTAATAATTTTAATTGTTAATATGGGAAAATTTTGAGGCCTTGATAGGTCAAATAGAGATCGTTGGGCATTCAGATATATTAGTGTCAATCCTTGGAAATATGGAGTTGGGAGTTATCAAGTTGATGGCAACTGATGTTATGGAGTGGATGTAGCCAGCATGTGTATGATAGAGGACTCAGGCAGAATTCTGAGGAACATGAGTATGTGAGAGGACAGAAGAGGAAGGAGATGCTGCAGTAAAGACTGAGGAGGAACAGCTGGGAACGTAGATAAAAGTTCTAGAGAGCATTGTGCCATAGATGCTAAGATTAGAGAATATTTCAAGAAGAAAGGATAGGTCCATAATGATCAACACTGCTGAGGGTTATAGTGAAACCTAGAAAGTTCTCATTGTCTTTCGACACAGGAAAGCCAGTATTGACATGGTAAGAATATTTTCGTGAAACAGTGTAAAAGCAGAAGACAAATTTTAAAGAACATGGAGTGAAAGTAAGAAAGTGGAAAAAGCAAGTATAAACAACTTTCAGGAAGTTTGACTTAAAAATGTGGGAGAAGTTGGACAGAAACTGGAAACCACATGTGGTTAAGGGAAATTTTTCTTGTTACTCTTGAATGTTTGGCTGTTAAAGAACAAGAGTGAAATTAGAAAGAAATAACCAAAGGGTTCTCTTTGTAAAATATATATGTATATGTATATATAGGCTGCAACCCCACTATAAACTAAGATATTTGATTTTGATAGAAATGAATTCTGTAATTTAAGTAGGAAATGAATTCTAATTTAATTGGTAATTTAAGTGGTAGAAGATTTAGAAAGATATCATCTAATGGCTTCTCCTAAAAATCAAGGTCCTCTGTAAGAGGCCTACAGAGTGAAGTTTTGAGAAGTCAGTGAATGTTTTCCGTCTGAAATAGCCACTATTAAGAGTGAAAGATAAGTGTGAAATTCAGTGCTAGTGTCAAGGTTGAGCTGAGGGTGAATGCTTGAATTTACAGTAACATCATTATTATCTATGCTTGAATTTACAGTAACATCATTATTATCTACACCTTTATTATCATCATCATGATATTTGTTAAGGAAACAAAATTTCTATAAAATATCTAAATGCAAAAATTATGAAGATTTTTTAAATAAGAAGAATACCTATGATCAATTCAGAGATTGCCTGCTGTGGATGAAGAAATCACTTCTTGACAAATCCAGAAACTTTCCATCAAACACTTTTCAGAAAAAACACCCTTATTTGTTATCAGAGCACAGGCATTCTCTTTAATCTGGCCTGTGACTTGAAATCTGTAGAGGAAAAAGCAACTTTTTAGTGATTCCCAGATAACTGTTGTCAGTTACTATTAAAAGCACAACTATGTGAATTTTATATGCTTTTTATTTCCATTTTAAGTTATAAATTTCAGGTACTGCAATATTCAGGCAAGAAATATGCATTAAAAAATATTTCTGCTGCGTATGGTGGTGCACACCTGTAATCCTTGTGGCTCAAGAGGCTAAGGCAGAAGGATAGTAAGTTCAAAGCCAGCTTCAGCAAAAGTGAGGTGCTAAGGAACTCAGTGAGACCCTGTCTCTAAATAAAATACAAAATAGGACTGGGGATGTAGCTCAGTGGTTGAGTGCCCCTGGGTTCAATTCCCAGTAACAGCCTCCCCATCCCTCAAAAATTCTTCTTTAATGAAGAAATTGCTTCAAATTATTTCTTAAACCAAAAATGCTCACTTTTATGTGATCAATGGAAATAAGCAGGTGACTAAAACAATATTCCTTTACCAATCCTATGAAATAATATGAAAAATAAAGATCTGAGAGGATAATCTGACCATTTTAAGGTAAATATTTACTTTCTTACCCCAAAATTCCTGTTTTTAGTATCTTTTTTAGTATCCACAATAATTAATTAATATCAGCTTCCATACTAAACAGTATCATATTCATCATTTTAAGTTTGGAAATATCGACACTCAAAAATATACAGTTTTCAAAACATATTAAGCCAACTTTCTGTATATCAAACTATTAATTTTTCATCTTCTACCCTTAAATCTCAATGTCACACTTAATAAAAAATCTTCTCTTTATTTGATAAACCTCTTTGATTCTCTTTGATTCCTAGGTACCTCTATGCTTTAAATGGTGGCCACATTACTCAAGACAGGACTGGAGGTAGAAATGAGAATTATAATGAGGATTAGGGAAGAAAAATTCCCTTTTAATTTTTTTGAACTCATATTGACAAGAGAATTTCTGTGCATGCAATGTATATATGGGTATATCCAAATTCTTTACCCTTATCACAAAAGATGGAAGTTTCTCTTTTTTTTTCCATTTTTCCATGATGTTCCAACCAAATTTTTCTTAGGCAAATAAGTTATAAGGCAATTTCATAATCTAAAAGTAATCAGCAAATACCCAGTTCTAACAATCCGATTAGTAAATGAATTACTCTAAGCAAGTTTGTGTGTCAGTTGACAGAGGTGGTAGATTTCTGTTAGAAATCATCAAAGCTAAAAAAAATTCTTAATTTATTGTCTGATATATGGAAGGATGGCATAAATATGCAATTTATAATACAGAATATAAATTTTAATGAGAGATGTAGATCATCTGTAGGTGAGAAGCTTCATTTGGATGGTGGCCTTCTATTCCAGGGCATTTTTCACTATCCTCAGCCTGCTTACCAACTCTTGCATTATTAAATTATATGGAAGTTTTAATATAAGAATAAATTAGTTTAGGAGTCTATTTCTCTAACACAGATTTTCTATTCTTCACCCATTAAAAGAGATCAAAATCTTCCATCTGTAGCAACCAACTGGCCATTGGAATTCCAGAGAGTCACCAGTAGTTGCACACTGCAGAGCCGTTGCATTTCCCCAATGATATTTGCATGCCAAACACTTACAACTGTAGATTTAATGGTGTGCCATCCACCCAGGTCCATGTCTTCTGTGGGTGGGTAATGTTTAACCCAATCCAAAAGTGGTTTCCAACTTGTATATTACTCTGTATGAATTCCTGTGAAAGGAACCAGTGAAAATTAACTGAATGAAGTCTCTTAAGATAGCCTCTTCTCACTTTTTCTCCTGACTCAAAATGGCCTTAGTGCTTATCTTGGTAATCAGGAAAATTATAAGAGGTGTCCATAATTTTATGGAAGAAACTCAATATAGGACAATTTTCAAACCACATGATCTTGTTGTGTGAGGTCACATGCAGCTTTCATAAAGTCATGACAATGTGAGCAGCTGATGAGGGGTGCAAAGAGATGTGAAGTCCCAACAAAGAATTAATAAACCTTCCTGATGAAGGCAGCTGTTCACTAGTTGTTTTCAACTATCAATGAGCAGTCTCAAACAAATCTGGTTCCTATGCTGAAACTATACACTAACCAAACTAAAAAGCCCGTCTCACCTACTCCAGATACTAGCAATATTCCCAGAAATTGTTAATGCTTTGATGAGTATCTCCAATCATTCCTATCTTTCCTTCCAAGAACTAATATGGAAGGCTGACATTGTAAATGGGCCTTAGTTTAAAACCTAGATTTGCCATTTACTTGTACAATGAAATTGTCTAATTGCACACCTGGCAAAGTTCTGATTTGGAAACAGGAAAAATTCTATTTATCTTACAAGTTTATCTTGAGCACTAACTTATATAAAAATTATAAAATGCATAGCACAATACCTAGCACATAGTAGGGATGCAAGAAATGGAAATAACTAATACTCGTATAATTCCTTTGTCATAAAATGGATCTATTTTTTCCAGTTTTGAAGACAGATTATTTCTTACCAGCTCTGCCTTGTCTTGTATCACCAAGAGATGTGACTTTTTCAGAGAACATGAGTTTTGGCTATCAATCCATGATTTGAAATTCATGAAAAATTTATAACATTTCCCTTTTTTGTGTAGCCAATCTTCAGGGCATAAGTTTGCTGAAATAGGAAGACAGGATGACATAGAAATGAGAAAGAAGTTTCAATATAAAACAATTTTTGCATTATTTTTTAAAACTTCTTCATTAAAAGTAAGAATTTTGCCCCATTTGTATGAAATGAACACATGTTCCAGTGAAGAATGTCTTTAGAAGAGACAAATGCTAAACATATTCATATTTATTATTTTAGTAACTACCACACATGAAATAATTTTCTGAATTCTGAATGTATGTGAATATATGAAATTTTTGCCTAACAAACTTATGAGAGCTATAAAATTATCAATTTTAAACTCCTCTTTGTGTGTATAAGGATATTAAAGGTTGGTTAAAGTAGAAAGAGGGACAGTGAAGCAGAGATACAGTAACTGACTCAAAAGTTCAGAGAGATAATAAGTGTAAGGGCAGAGGGAAACTTAAAGCCATCGTCATATTAATACATTTACACAACTACACAAGACATAAAAGGTACTATACTCTTAAAGAACTAAAAGGGTAAATTTTCAGCAATCTGATCTCTGACTGGGTTCCTGTTCCTGTCGTGATTGTAAGAAACTGACTTTCAGGATGTAGATCAACCCAAGGATTAAACCACAAAACCAATGTCTTAGGAAACCATGACCAGAAATTTTAGCGATCAAGATCTGTTGAGCCCATCAACAGATCTTGAACAGAAGAGTGATTTTTAAAAAAGAGAATAAATTAAAATATTTTATTTTTTATAGCAGACAACCATTTTTAAAATTTTAACTAGAATCCTCAAGTAGATTTCTGAGTAATTAAAAATCAAAGGATATGAGAGTTACCTTTGAAATCAGAGAGCATAAAAGATATCAGGGGAAAAAAAAAACTGATGAGGAAAAAAACAATACCTTTAAAAATTCCTTTTTGATACAGAAAAATATATTCCATACATACATTATCAGAAATTTGTAAAATAAATGATTTACCATGACCTCAGTATCTATGTGTCTCAATGACCACCAAATGTATCTCTATGAAAAGGGAAAAGTTGAAATGGATATTAAAATAAACCTACATTCAGAAAGGGTACATACAGGTTTCAATTAATGCCATATGTTTTTACATATTAAGCTATATAAGTATTGATTAAATTTTATTTAAATTTTAATTACTTCATTATTTAAATATTATGTATTTTTAAATATCCATAAATTTGTGCATAAACTTTTCTGATATATCAAATGATATATAAACATAAAAATAGAAAGTATAAAATACTTTATACAAAAGTCCTTAAGTGCTGCAATGCTGGAGGAGGAGAGCCTCCAAGTGACCTAGAGAAGCCTATGGAAGCATAAGCATGGGGGAAGACTGTAGTGCCTAAGGTTACCTCCTGAGAGAGTGTGGAGAAAGACTAAAGTTTTAACCCAGAAGCATCATCATAAACATGCACATTAGTTATATTTTTCATGTTGTATTTTTTCACTCACTTTAAAACACAAAATAACACATATACAAATTATACTAAATGTGCATAAGCCTTAGAAATTATCTTAGAATGATGCATTTAAAATGTATAAAATTTATGGCTTGGGGTAGATTTTCTACTTAGGAAATAGGTATTACATCTGAGAATTTTTTATGATATAATAGGAACTTACAAGTATGAAAAAAAATAGGCATCCTAATTTTTAAAAGGGGCCAAGGTGATAAACATTTTATTATTTTATTATTTCTTAACAAATGGGCATTTTGAAGAATAAAAAATAAATATCTAATACATATGATTTTTATATTACTACTTTGTAACAATACAATTAAAATATATTATATGTATTTTTACATACTTTTATCATATAGAAAGAATCTTAGCTCATATGGTCAAGTTGGCTGAAATTAAACAGATTTTTTGTAAGTTTTAAACTGAATTTTGATTTTGATAGGATAGCAGTGCAAAACTAGAGTTTTGTTTTCCTTTTATTAAAATGATAAAATTTTCTTGGAAATTTTGTTTATTCTTCATAAGAGATTATAAAATATGTTTCTTTATCCTTCAAGTAATCTGTTTAGGAAACAGATTCTGAACCTTATTCAAATAAATTCTACTACTTTATGTTGTGTTTATCGTGACTGATTACTGAAAACTAAGTTTTCACAATACTGAAAAGAGCTAAGTTTTTTAATATTCATGTTAACTTCTGTATTTGCTTTTTAATTTTTTTTTATCATGTGGGTTAAACATACAACTAAGTATTATTTTATCATGATATATATGATTCTGTTTACCTAAGTATTCAAATTTTTGGATATTTTTGACTCCTTTCCCAAATCAAATTAAAAACAAACAATTTTGCCCAGAGAGCACCTAGAAAATCTTAAAGGCTTTACTTTTGAAAAATGTTAACCTAATTAGATTCATTTGAGATTCTAAATTGTGTGGGAAACCTTGTTAAATATGAAGGGGGCTTTAATTATCCTTGTTATAATTGTATGGGGTTACATTTGTTAATATAAATATTTCAGAATTGTTATGAGGTTACTAAAATTTTAACAATGTCCCTACTATACATGAAATTTCTATGAATAACATTATCTGTCAGAATTGCAGTTATTATCTTAAAATATGTATCATGGAAACAACCAGAGATCTTTATCAATTGCAGTACTCTCATCAAATCTTAAACTGTAGCCATTTTTAAGCCCTTTGTCATTCACAGTTACTGTTTTATGCTTTCCTAAAAACATAAAATTCATTACAGTTCAAAAGGCTTTGTCTTCTAAAAGACCCATGGAAAAAGTAAGAACTTCTGGTGTCATTGCATAAATAATTTGAAGTCCACAGCATTGGATTGGGTAAAGAATCAGAACTAATGAAGGAGCTAACTGGTAAAACTGCTATCCCAAGATAAAGTAGAACAAGAAAAAAAATTATAGGAGACCAAATGAACTAAAGAAAAATGATCATGATTTCTTTTATAAAATTCTCTCAAAATGTTACTGGTTCTTTAATATCCTAATTTCTGAATATATAAGCAATTTTTGTCTCTTTTTTCTCAGCTATGTGTAATTTATGTAACTGAGTATGTTATGACTTTATAAACAAAACTAAAAAAATTATCTCTTTTCCTCTCCTAATGTCTCCAAAATATGGAAATTCTAATTGAATATTTTTATCTTCACGGTAGTTCAGTTAGCTGTTTAATAAGAACCTGTTTTCCTTGCAACAGAACATAATTAGAAACATGAGATTTTACCAGGAATGTCATGTTTGAGAATAATGTGTATAAAATTAGATATAACTGGACAGTTTCAAAAACTAAGGTTCAGTTTGTGGAACCAATTTTAAAAAATGACCTGAAACATGGCTTATAGTATTCTCAGACTCATATTTGAATAAGGAAGGTTGCTTCTGGGCAAGCCCAAGAATCTGAAGATGCATAAGGGCCTCTAAAAAGACAGGAATTCATTCATATCTATAGATACTACCAGTGAGGTCTGATGGAGAGTTTGTAATTTGGCTTCCTATCTTCAAGAGGTTTCTAGGAGTCCAACTTGATTTCCTTATTCCAACAAAGCAACCTTTAAAAGACTTATATGATCCATACACTCCCTGTTACCCTTTTGAAAATAATCAGGCCAAGTTAAATGATATTTATTTTTGTAAACAAAATAATTTGACTTTGATTATCTTTGATAGAAATGGAGATGACTGTAGAGAGAAATGTTGTTTCAGTTGAGAATGAGTATCCCTGAAAACTAAAACTTGACTGCCTAGATCCTTACCTGGACTATCTGAAGAAGTCCCACAAGCTAAATAAAGTTCATTGATCCTTTCTCTACACAGAAGAATTACAGTGACTATAACACTAGTGTGCATGACATGAAATCTATTGTACACATGCCACCATCTGAAGACACTTTAGAAAATTCCAGATGAGAGAAGTAAAAAAGATGGAAACATGCCTTCTCAAATATTCCGGTTTTGCATAGAAATTATTTCAATATGAAAACATTTGAGGTTCATCAGACAGAAAGAATCCTGGAGTCTCCCCTTCTCTGACCAAAGGCAGAAACTTCTAAGAAATGAGGCAGCATACTTTCCTTCTTCATGGGTCAGGTTGTGGATGGGGTGGTGCTTGTGTGTGGTGGTGGGGGACAGGGGTCACTCCCAGGAAAAAGACTGGGAATAAATCTACCAACTACCAACATCCTCTCCCTGAGAAGTTAATGGCCCTAAAGAAGACAAGAAGACCATTTGCACAAGGATAAACATAAGATATTATTATAAACTTTCTTATCCCTCGTTTGTCCTTCTGAAAAACCTGTAGGTCTGTCCTAAAGAAATCTACTTTTATTCTCATAGAGGCTTCCTCCTGGTCTTTCCTTAGAAAGTTAGGTACCATGTTAGAGATTTGGCTAATTCTCTCTTTAGTTTCTATATCCATTCTAATAAAATCTTGTCTTCTGTTAATCTTTTATCAGTTCCACTTACTTACTGACCACCCCTAAGAGGATGGAGGAAAAGACTTTCCTTCTCAACATTACAATGAAATAAAATCACGTACCTTCGGAGTTTGCATTGTTCAGCTGTTTTCTAGGAGAAGTATTCATACAATTGCAATATTTGGTTCCATTTTCATTACTAAATATCTGCTCACTGTGGTTATCACTGAAGGAATGCATGTTTTGTTGACTTACTAATAAACAAAAACATTAACAGTAATTATATTTCTATAAATGGAAGCGTATGCCTTTTAATTATTTATTTCAATTAAACTGCAAGTGAATCCACAAATTGCTTGTCAAGAAATCTGTTTAGAGGCTGGGGTTGTGGCTCAGCGGTAGAGCACTTGCTTAGCACGTGCGAGGCCCTGGGTTTGATCCTCAGCACCACATAAAAACAAATAATCAAAATAAAGGTATTGTGTATAACTAAAAAGTAAATATTAAAAAAAAGAAATCTGTTGATTTAAATTTGCAAGAAAAATATGAATTTTGAGATTTGGGAAATTTCTTCCTACAAAAACTTAAGTAGAAACAAAAAGTATCATTATCCAAATAAAACTAAATGTAAGTTTTTATCTCTTTAGTCTGATAGGTTAGAATTATGCATGTGATCTTGAAATTCTGTGTGTGCTCTTCCCTGTAAAAAGGAAAATGATTAGCAAACTTGCACATTTTTTTAAGTTTCAGAAATGGTATATATAAAGTGTTTACATAACTCCTAACATGTAGCAGGTAACAGCAAATATAAATAATTATGAATATAATTGTACATATCTCGTATTTACATTTCATAGTTAAAGATCTTAAATTTAATTTGGGCTTGTATTTTAAAGTAGCTGATAATTTTTGTTCAAAACTCCAAAGCATCAGGTCACCTGTAAAGTCCAAATTTTTACTGAAAGGACCAAATCAACTTCTACAAAATTTATAGAGCTATCACCAAAATATGTAACTTCAGTTCCTAGAACAGTGACAGTCACGAAAGATTTGCCAAGCAGGTAAATGTATGAACAAAGTAGCTTTTTATAAAATAATACATTTTCTGCTTCCTTTGTATAGGCAAAAACTAATTATAATGGAATCATAAGTGGTATCATTTAATGTCAGTATAATTAAAGTAATGAAAAAAAGAGTATGAGGACTTCGTTAAAAAATGTAAGTTAGAGAATGTGGAAGTTAAACTCCAAAGGAAATGTTTTTGCCTCTCTAGCTAAACATGTAACATTCAATTTACTCACCCCGAATGATTAGTCCTATCACTGTGGTCACCAATATAACAAGTACAATGCCCATCAGTCTCAGAGCAGTCTGATGCCACTTTGGACACTCTGGGTAATCTGTAATGAATAATTTTTCTTCTAAAATTTTTAGACATAAAAATGTGTCATATAAATGAAAAATTCTGAATGTATACATTGTCTTTCCATGGTATAAAGGAACATACAAAGTCTGTTAGATTACCCTGAGATGAATTTGTATGTAATTATCTTTAAAAATTGGATTTATTGATTATAAAAAGTCAAAACACTTCATTCATTTAATACTTATTAAATATCCTTCTTATATTAACACTTTTGTTCCCAAACCATAATTCATACAGAGAATGGGTGAATATTAGTTGATCAAACAAAATATTCCAACTAAAATTTATCATTTATGTTCATTTACATCTTGACTGAATTACTTGCATTATATTTAAGTAGTATCAAAATAACTGAGTGAAAGTTAAAATGATTGTCTAAAGGAGATACACAAGCAAAACTAAATGTTGTAGCCATTTTCATTTTCCCAAATATTATATAAATTAAAACACATTTGTATTAATTCATGAAATAAAACTTACATGCTCATCTTTATAATTGTATATTTTGCTTTAACAAATAAACATTATAAGAATTTCATAATCTTCAATCCAGGGTAAAAATGTATTCATTATATTCATTTTAATAATATTTATAAACATTATTATTGCCAGGAACTGGGCTGGGTGTGTGAATTTCAGAGAGATAGATAACACAGTGTACCAGTAAGACAGCTATGCAAATATATTATTTCAAAATAAGGTAGCAACATTTCTTAACACTAGGCTGTAGTTCAAGTTCTTAAATGTTCTTATTGATAACAGAATTGAAATTCTCCCCAAGAATTATAGATGCATAATTGGTAGTACAATGGGAGTTATAAGTTCTTAGAGTTATAAGTTCTTACCTTTATATGTCCACTTGTGATGGCAATGATAGGAATGTTTTCTTGGCTTCTGAAGTATAGATCTTTCTGTGTTTTGTCCAACCATTCCATAAATGGAAAAATCCATTTTTGAATGAGGTGGAAATAGAGACATTATTTGACAAAAACAACCAGTGCCTACAAAATGTCTTGTTGAAACAAAGCTTACCACTCTAAAACCACAAAGGATATGGTTTAAAAAGGGAAGGGACCTCTCTGTCGTACATGAAATGCTTTTTGTCATAGTTCTGTATTTGTAGCAAAATTATAAAAATAGTACAAAAAATTCTCATTAGGTTAATATGATACATATACCAAAATTACTGAATTAATATTGACACATTACTGTTAATTAAAGTCTATATTGAAAGATCCTCAGTTTTTACCTAATATCTTTTCTTTGAGGATCCCATATAGAATACCACAATACATTTAGCTCTCATATTCATATCCTTAGTTGTAATGTTTCTTACTCTTTATTTTTGATGACTGAAAGTTTTGAAAAAATAATGGTCAAATATTTTGTAGAATATTCCCAAATTTGAATAGTCTGCTATTCTTTTCATTAGTATACATGGGTTATAGGTTTTTGGAAGAAGACTGTTGAGATAAATTGTCAGTCTCATCACCTTTTTGAGGGTATATATTATCAATATGGGTTCTCACTGTTTATGTTAATCAACTAGCTGAGATAGGGTTTAAAAGTTTATTTAGTGAAAAGTTATTCTCCCCCCTCCCCATTTCCAAACTGTACTCTTTGGAAGAAGCCCAATATATGCATCGCAAGGAAAGGATTGGGTTGTATGTAGACACTGTGAAGACATTTTCAGAATTCTCCTGGGAATATTTACCTACTTTTCTATTTATTTACTCCTTTATTTTAGTATATATCTACTTATATTTATTTTATAATTCTAATCAGTACTCCTTTTTCTGAAGCCCACATTTTTCTGTCTTTGGCCATTGGGAGCTCTATCAGTTGACTTCATGAGTTCAGTTCACACAGTTGTCTGCATTTCCAATGCACATAAATACTTCTAGCCTCTTGCCTCACAGTTCTATAACCTCCCACTCCAATAATAAAAAATCAACAGGACTATTACTGAAGCCAGATTTAAAGTTAGGTAGTCCGTGTAGTTAGGTAAATCGGGTCTAATATCGAGTGAAATCTAAAATGGAGGCCATGAGAATAAATTCCTGGAAAAGTCGAGCAACTCTTGAAATGTTAATGAAGTTTAGGAAACACCCCTCAACAGGTTTGAAGATAGCTCATCCCAAAGAAGTGTTAATGAACAGCCCCAGCAGAAGTTGCTAACTCTGAAGTCGTTGTTGCCCAGATTACTTCTTTGGCCCACCTGTGTTCCAACCCTCCGGCCTTTCCACCTACATTCCATCACAGAAAACTATAAAAAGGGGAAACAACCCGCACTTCCATGGATTCCATCTCTTAGGTCCCCTTCTTCCTCCAGGAGAAGTCTTTTCTGCTGTCCTTTAATAAACTTCTATTTTCCACTCTGACCTTGCCTCGGTGTCCTTCTCTGGTGTTATACTTCAACATTGGGGAAGCAAGGACTCATCACCGGTCAACATCGGTAACATTACCATCATACTTAATTTGCTTAATTTTTTTTATTTCAACATGCATATTTGATGGCTTGGGAATTGTTTCCTTAAACCTCATAAGAAACTATTTTATCAACTAGATCATAGTGCTTAATATGCACAGTTCCTTTTATCCTACAGTTTCTACTCATTTCTAAGTTACTTAGATCAGCAACACCCTCACCTTCAGTGAGGCTGCTTGTGTATTTGTTAAAGTCTTTTGGCACTTTCTGAATATCATCCTAGAATTCCTAACCCCCAAATTGATTTTTAAATTTGCATGAATTAATGTTCACTCTTTCTGTCATAAAGTCTTATGAGTTTTCACAGATATTATACCATGATTATATTGTACATGCTCAAAAAACTTCCAAGTTCTTCATCTTTCAACTCTATAGCTCTCCTAAATGCTGGTAACTCCTGATATATTTGGCATCTCTAAACTATCCAGATAATGTATGGACTCATGCATTATAAAGCCTTTTCAGATTGGTTTCTTTCAATATGCCATACACAATTAAAATTTATAAATATGCTTTTATAGTTTGATAGTTCATGTTCTTTTATTGCTGAATTCATCATAGGAACATATGCAGGCAGCTTGCTTATTTATTCACTTATTGAAGGACATCTTTGCTATTTTTTAGTTTGGGGCAATTATAAGTAAAGGTACTATAAACACTCATATGTAGGCTTTTGTATGGATTTAAATTCTCAAATATGTTGGGTAAATGCCTAGAATTTTGGCTACATGGTCATATGATGGACTCTGTTTATCTTTGTAAGGAACTGCAAAGCTGTCTTTCAAAGTCGCTGTGTCATTTTGCTTCCCACTAACAATGATTGAGGCTTTGTCTCTCCCTCTTCTCATCAGCAATGGGTGTTGACAACATTTTGAATGTTAGCATTCTAAAAAGGTCCTAGTGTTATCTCTGAGTTGTTTTCATTCTCATTTCTCTAATGAAAAATGATGTGGAACACTTTTTCATGTGCTAATTGTTCGTCTATCTTCTTTGATAAAGTATCTGTTCAGATCTTTTATTCAATTTCTATTTGGGTTTTTTGTTTTCTTATCCTCAGAAGGTAGGTATTCTCTACATATTTTAAGAACTTTTTTGTTATCAGATGGTATATATTTCACAACTATTTTCTACTAGTTTGTAATTTATGTTTTTATTCTTTTAAGTATATCTTTTGCACCCCAGAATTTTAAAATTTAAATAAAATGCATCTTATTTTCTTTTGTTCATGGATTGTACTTTTGGTGTTGTGTCTAAAAACTCCATAAATAAATGTCATGTAGATTATCTTCCTGTTTTGTTCCAGAAGTTTTATAGATTTTTTTCATTTTATACTTGGTTCTATGATTGCTTAAATTAAAAATTGCTTCAGATATAAAATTTGCATCTGGGTTCTTTTGTGTTTGTTTTTTGCAAGTGGATATACAGGTTTCCTGGTACCATTTGCCACATATACATAGACATATATATGAAATAAATGACAGATGAATAGATAGAAAGTAACTCCTTTTCCTACAACGTCACCTTTTGCCCTTTCTCAAAAATGAGTTTACTATTTCAATGAAGGTGTTCCTATTTTGTTCTGTTGAGTTGTGTATCTGTTTGTTCGCTGATAACAGAAGAAGACTTGTCTCCAAAGAAGTGTCCAAGGAGTTCTGAGAGAGAGGAGGGAATTCTACTCAGGACCAGTAGGATTATTTACATATGTGACAGTAAAGAATTTCAACATTCACCAGTCAGAGGCATAGATTGAGGGTTACTTAGGAGAAAAGATAAAAATTCAAGGGAAAATTGGGGCAGTGTAAAGAGAGAGACGTCTTTGAGAGTGAAGCAAGGAATGCTCATTCAGCAGAGAATGTGGGCCACTTTGAGACTGAAAGAAGTATTTTGGGGGTACCCAGCACTTCTTTAAAAGAACATTTGGTGAGGGTTGTGTATGGAAAAATATGTAGGAATGTTATCAGTCCAGCAATCTCAAAGACAGTTTCTGGTGGTTTCAGTCAATCTCTGGAATGTTAGACTGACAAGGTCTTTGTTATCTGATCCACAGACAGCACCAGAAATTCCCATATATTATAGGTCTCTCATTATATCATCTCTTTATTGTTGTTGTTGTTTCATCTAATTATTAGGAGGTTAATTAACAGTGGACGGGTACATTTAGAGAGTTCTGAGGAATTTCTGAGAAATTCCTTTCTACCTTTTCTTATTTCTTCTACTCTACCTCAATACCATGCTAATTTGAATACTTTAGCTTACAATAAGTCTTGAAATTACATAGTATGAATCCTTCAACTTTGTTCTTCTTCCTCAGCATTGTTGTAGGTATTCTGACCATGGAAATAGGGAAGGGTTCCCCCAGTGAGCAAACTCCCTGGGGTTTACTGGCAGCCTGATTCCCATGATTGAAATACCCAGCAGTTTTCTCCTGATGCTATTAAGATAACTACCTGGTTTCCATAGCAACGTTCTTGGGTTTGAGAGGCTCTGTGTTTGTATTAACTAGGACCTTATCTCAGTTAGCAGGCACTCAAAGGAATACTGATTAGAATGTAGTCAGGTGTGATGGGTAATATGTAATCTTTTATGAGTTAATAAAACTCAGCAGGAGGGAGGAGCAAACACTTCACTTCTGTACTTCTTTACCACATCACTTCACTCACTCCCCCCCCC